CAATTTTGCTAAACCTCCAAAAACAAAGAATTGCAAAATGTTAAAAAATAAATGCAAATATTTTGTAAAGCAGAATTATTTGTTTTTTTTCCTTGCTCTCCAAGTAATTATCTTGTTTCAGTCAAAGAGATGATTGTTCTTTGGAACACGTGTCTTAACCTCTCCGCCGAGGAGGTCATGTTTTCACCCCCGTCCATTTTTTTAGTTGGTTATTTTGTTTGTTTGTAAGACAAATAAAACTAAACTACAGGACAGATTACCATGAAACTTGGTGGAAGGATGTGATATGTGTCAGGGAAGAACTCATTCAATTTTGGTGTGGATCCAGATCAGGACGAGGATTTATGAATGTGTCCAATTTGGTGCTGATCGAAATAAAAATTCAGATTTGGTGAATGAATGTGGAGTTATGTGCTCTGGTGCCACTCTAGTATTATACATGTATTTTTGTAGATACTATCAATTTTAATGCATGTAGTTTGAGTAGTTTTTAGTTTGGCTACTTTTAAGCAAAGTATCTGAGTGCTTCTATTCCACCACTGCTCCTGGAAAGAACAGCTGCATTTCAATGAAGAACAGCGAGGGGGTTTAACTGTCTCTCTTTCCAGGAAGGTAAGGCTTTAAGATTGGGGAACTGGCAGCAGAGAGCCTAATGAAGAAAAGAGGTTAAGCACAGAGGTGTCAGAAAGGATTAACCTAATGGAGAATGCAGCAGGAAAAAGGCGGCTTCAGGCTTTGGTGGAGATATTTCTGCGGCAGCATGAGATTAGACAGTTTCTGTTCTGCTCTGCAAGGTGAAATGACAGTAGATCCCATTAGCTGCTGATGATTAATAGAGCCGTGACTAGAACTTAGTTGTTAAATTCATCTGCGTGAATATGTATGAAACGTGAGGTGTTTAAGGGGATCAGAGTGAAGATGATTGTAGGAAATAACTGCAAATTCTTCACACCCTCAAGTGCTATACTTTTATTAAAAGATACACTGACAGAAGTTTCTCTGTGAGTTTATAATTTTCCTAGAGATGCATTAGGCCTGTGGGATAAAACCTAGATGACAGAAGGGTTTCTGAGCTGTGTACAAGGAGATAAAATGTTATGCATATTCACCGAAGAATTTGACTGCAAATGTTTTTATAGAAAGGCCCCTAGTAAAACTCACAGTCAGTACATTCACTTGGGTTCTGTATTTAAAAGTAAGCTATTTGAAGTACTTGTGCTTTTACTGAATATATCCTTTCAATGACATTTCTTGTACATCTGCATTTCAGAGGTAAATTTAATACTTTTTACTTTGCAGATTCAGATTTTGCAAAACATTTGATCAACAAATCCAATATGATGCATCGTTGCAGTTGTG